CCTTCAGTTGTAAATTATGCGGTGGCATGTCTGGTAAATCCAATGAGTTTAAAATCTCTGTTGGATAATTTACAGCTTCAGTAGCATCGCAAACTGTATCAATAGATTTGTATGACACCAAGTCTCCTGATAACAAATATTGTATCTTGAGATTTAATTCGTTGACGTCCACATGTTTTGCTGCTAAAATTGCTCTTTCTTCCAGCCACTCATAATTTTTGTATTGTCTGAGTACATTGGGAAATATCTGGTCAATGAGAATATCTTGCGAATCAATGATTCTGCAAAAATCGGTCGGTAATTGTATGCATCCCGTTTAATCTGTAGTAACGTTCCCATCACCGATAATCCTATTTTCAAACATTGCATAGGGGTTTCAAAAATGAAAAATCATCATTATCTGAATGTATATATAATTAAGAGTCATTTAAAAAAAAAAAAAATTGTATACATTTTAATTTTCGAATAATTTTTATTCCTCAAGAAGTATTTAAAATATCGAACATTTTGAATGATTTTAAATTGGTTATATGAGTACTCAAATCGTATCTTATTTTCATGAAAAAGACGTTGCTGAAACTATCAAGTTGAATAATTCAAAACATCCAAAATAAATACTTGTATAGATATAGAAAAATTCAAAAATTTGTTGTATTATAAAATTAATTAGAATTCCGTAGTTCTATAAATACCTTTTAAGACCAATTTAAAATATTTAAATATTTTTGATAATTTAGTGGTATAGTGAGGATTAAAAACGATTTACAAATTCTGTTGAAATTACCATAAATTACACATGTATATAGCAAGGGCGATGATAAAGATTATTTAAAGGAGGGGATTGTATTTAAGTAATAATTATTTTTATTATTACATATTTATTTACTAACTGGGATTTTGTCATGGGTGAAGGGGTTTGAACTTCCCCTACTCTTACTTACAACACTGATCCTTAGACGTATAGAAATACATAAAACATGTACATGTGCCGTATAGAAATACTAATTTTCTTCGATTATATTTTTGCGTAAACAAAAGTTATTCACGAAGGAAAATAATTGAGGTTCTGAATGAAGTTGATAAAATCTACTCAAACAAATTATTCCTACTGGTTCTCAATGGATGGACAAAAAGTTTACATATACTTATGAAGTATCTCCCCACACATTCACACTCAATATAAATGCTCACTAAACGTACATTTTCATAGGTTTATTGTGTGTTTAATACAACGTGCTACAAGAAGAAGTGACCGACGTCGCGACGCGTATGAAAGTATACTAAAATTGATGAGGAAAGAATGTTTAATGAGAGGATCTAACTTTTTCATGGACAATTTACCTTATTTCAACAAAACCAAACCTACCATGATTTTTTTATAAATCTCCAATATTTTTCATTATTTTAATGTAATTTTCTTCTTATTTTTAAAAGATATTTAATTGTGCTACCAATCATCATACGCAATCAAACCAGAAATATGCAAGTTATTTTTATTTAACTGAAAATATTTAATATATTTTATCAAATATTAGTATATTGAAAAGTAAATCACGTATTACTTCAAATAATATCGTATTTATTACGATTTTTCAATATATTTTATAATTATATTAAATATTATCATTATATATTAGTAAGTACTAAGAGTAATATATAATCAATGATTATATTACTATATAATATATATATATATTATATTACTTATAAAAAAAAAAAAAAAAGGTTATTATTATTATAGGTATTATTATTTTTTTTATATAATACCTTAAAAGTTTTCTTTTCACATCTTCTATTTCAGAGTTCTTCGCTGTTAATTGTCACTATCCTAGTTTATCAGCTGTTAATCGTTTAATTTAATTTTCTTTGGTAGATTTTAGTTCTCATGTTATCAGTACCTAGATATTTGCTTCAAGTACTAATTTGTAAATTGGTACTATTGTAATTAAGTTTCAAAATGCCCAGGTTATTTGATTTACCATTCGGTCACATTGCTGATAATAAAAATAAACAATAAAAGCATATTATGCTTTTTGTGTACGGATTTTGATGGTCTAGGACTAAGTGCCTAGGGGTATTTTCACTGCAGTTCTTACCTTTTCATAATTTTAAAATTTAAAAATAACACTGCATTGGTGTTAATTTGTCTTAAACCCGAAATAATAGTTACTACATAAAAAAAATAAAATAAGAATGTAACATACACCAATTTATAAAATTTTACTGGTTTTATGATATTAGACCTGATGCAATGGTAGTTTTTGAATCCAGTTGCATACTTTATTCTCTAGTAGTTTAAGGTCAGATAAATGTTCTATACATGAAGTATGATTTTAATTGATTTTGTTTAGGTATAAGCTGCTTTTTATATGCTAAAATTTGTTCTACAAAAAATTTGGAGGGGAGATTGAAAAATTAGGGTTAAAATAAATAGAAAGTAAAATTTTTTAAAAATAAAGACAATTTTGAGAATATTTTATGTTAATGGTTAGAATATTACTATACATTAAATTCATCATGATGATGGAAGAGAAAAATATTTAAAAAAACTCTTGCACAATTTTTTTATTTTATATTTATAAATAAATTTCAGTAGATTCATTTTTTCTAATATGAATAAAATAAATTAAGCAAAAAATGTATGATTTGTGTTTAATTCAATAATTAACATAATAATAAATTTAGTTACATTTTTTTAAGTTTCTATGATTATTAAAACAAGTAAATATGTAGGTACATAGTGGATTGTGTAGAATAAAAAACAATTTAATAGTTAAATAGTAGGTACTTTCTATGTATTTTATTTGATAATAAGAAAATTTGTTTAATTTTATCATCAAATGTTTACAAAGCTTACCAAGTTTACCAATAAATAATATAATTCGTATATTCAAACTCAATAGATTCTTACAAAGTTTATACATTTTATTATTAACACCCATAAAAATTATTCTTTTAATTATAATTATTGTCTCTAAAAAAAAATTGTAAGTAAAGAAAACTAAAAAGATTAATAGTCTTAAAAATGCTGCAGGCTTTTCTTGTAATCGAATATAAAATATAAGAATGAATTATATGAATTTATAAATGATTTCACTTAAATTATTGAATATATTATAATATTAGTACCTATGATAAGTTAAATTAATAGTTATTTAATAATACAGTGTAGATTATAAACTTTCTCGTCATAAATTAATCAGTTAAGTAATAATAATATAATAATATAATAAATTACATTTACGTCAATTTGCATGATGAATGAGTTCTCAAAGTAGGTACTTATGCTTTTGGGCATGAATAAAAATTATATTATTATATGAAAAATGATAAAAATATGATTATCAATTATCAATTTTTAAACCCATCTCATAAATCTAAAAATGAAGGAAATAATAGTGTACAAAATAAATCAATTATCAGTGTTATCACCTTTTTTTTTTTTTTAAATAAATTAAATCTTATTAGCATATTATAATTTATCTCAAATATAATTAAATTGTTTTAGTAATGTTATATAGATTTTTATTTCTAAATATTAAATGAGTATTTTGTATTTTCTTTTAAGTGTCAATTTCGAATCATCTAAAAAATCATTAAATACTGCATAATTATGATTTTGAAACTTTTTAAAAAAATAACTCTCTCCTACGAAATGGTTGTCAACCCCCTGACCTATGACAATAAAATTTAATCTGGCTTACGCATTGGTTAGTATACAGTAGTATTATATTATAATGTAAATAATGGCTATCTACTTTATAGACATAAATTTTAACATACTTAAACATTGATGGTTGATAAAAAAATAATAATACTGTGAGGTTAAACAAGTGTAATTTAAATAATATGAATTTCTAGTACAACATACATTAATACTATAATTTATAATTATACAAATTTAACATTTTAATAGTAATAGTGGAGACTGAATATACTCGTACTTAATATTAGGCAATATACATTGTATATTAATTTAAAAATAACAGATAACATTTTATACATAATATTAATATTATATCTTTTAATTAGCTTTGTAATATATATTTTCTATAAGATAAAACTACTAGAAAAATATTGGATATTTATGATAAAATAATAGTATCCATTTCCCCATTTACATTTACAAAACTATAATTTAAAAAAAAAAATATTTTCAAGAAACCTTCAACAATACAACTATCCATAAAATATAACACATATCTCAATAATTTGACCTGCAAAAGTTTTATTTCAGTCTAAAAATATTATAAATAAAATAAAACACAGACAATTTATAAAATTCAATATGTAGATGTCTGCAAAATTATATAATACAGAGTGTCTTATGAGGAATTAATAGTTCAAAGTAGAAGTCTGATAAAGTTTTCTCTAACCCGAATTAAAAAATTAAATCTTTTTAGAACATCTTGTACATTTATATATGTATATGCAAATATATATACTATTTTATATGCAATAAAATTAATAATAAACAATGCAACAATTTTATAACACATTACATTTCCTACAATTATTACATACACTTAAAAATCTAACAAAAATGATTTTAACTATATAATATTAAAAATAAAATAAAAACTTATTAATAATGCACCACAAATATAAAATAATAGGACTCTAGCAACAATTGATAATACAAAACTTCAGATCTATGTGCTATCTGCCTATTCTTCTGTTATTATAGTAAATAATTATTATAAGATAGCAAAGTATAATAGTTTATCAACAAATAGATTTATTAATAAACATAATCATAAAATTAATCATTTGTAGTTGGAATGTATGGAAAATAAAATGTTATATATAATGAGCAAATCTATTGATTTGAGCAACAGGTAGAGAAGATATGAAGCAAATAATAATTTTACTACAGCAAGTTTAAGTATAAGAATATTTATCATTAATCTTTTTTTTATGTTGGGTTAAAACAAATTATATTTTCTGGAACAAGTCAAAACATTTTTAGTAAAAGTTTAAAAATTAGTTACCATAAAAAAGTGTAATATATTGATATTAATGACATTGGTAACTGTTTTTTTAGCTATTTGGCAAAGTAAAGATTGATTCACAGTCAATTTATAAATATTTAGCATGTATAAAACACTGGTAGTAATAAAATATTAATAATATAAAAATTGAAAGATCATACATAAATGTGGGGTCATGGTATAGTACTGGGGTTTCACCAATATTGTCGACTTGGCACCAGAGTTAATCTTCCGTGATTGCAAGTTCTAGGACGGATCACAATTTGAATATTTCCTAGTAAATCACACTTCCAGATAGAATTTAAAAGATGACTACTCAAAACCTTGCTGAATAGTCAACTGGACTTATATAATTAGGTCTACTCCCGGTCAATTTCGTCATACGAAAAAATAAAAACAGATAATATGATTTATCATAATGTACACGTAACAGACATATACTTTAATTGTAACTGAACAAAAAAATTAAATATGTAGTAGGTTCTCATTTTTCAAACCACATCAAGTCAAATATTCATTAATTGCTATCCAATTGAAAGAATCAAAATGTTGAAAAATTATTAATAATAAATACAAAATCGTATTGAAAAGTCAACAAGTCATTAGCCTGGTAGCCGAGATTCAGCATAAAAGTCAGGTTCATCTTCATCATTACTCATGTTTGATGGTTCATTGCTGTCCAGCTATAGTTAAAGGAATACAATGTAAGGGGGGTCAAATGCAAAAATTAAAATTTAATAAGATGATACTTACAGCTCGTAATTCTTTTGCGGTAAATATTTTATCACATAGCTGAGATCGCACAGGAATCATCATAATTAAGAAAAATGGAAACAGCAAAGAAATCGATGACGACTTAATACTCCATAAGCCACATAAGCATATGAGTTGAATTCCAGTAAATAGATGCATTTTATAAGTTTGAACCTAAAAACAATATTATATTAAGCAAAACACAATTAATAATTTTTAAATTTAATTAATATCAAATTTCATTAACATTTTTTTTTTTTTGTTATAAATATTTTAGATATATTGTTAAATTTTTCGTAATTAAATATCCTACATGAAGTATACAACAATAAAGCTTAACTTCCGGAAAACGTTATACCAGAATAAAATCAGTCCCGTGTTATCGATCAGTTATCATTAACTCACGTCTGAAACCTTAACATAGAACAAATGCAGTTTGGTACCCATGCTCAATTTTGGATTTTTTTTTTTTAAAAAATCATGGTTCCCTCGATAAAAATATTAAAATAAAACTACCTATTACGTACACCGGATAGTCACTGATTGCTGCGCTCAATCGAATTGTTAAAACCGAATATATCTCTCGATTTGTTATGCAAAATCACTTGAAGTAGTCACAGGATAAAAAAATCCATTTGTATAAGAAACTCAAATTTTGAAAAATATCAAAAACCGCTTGGATACAATCACAAAATAAGTCGTTTTTTTTTTTTTTAAAAAATATCAATATTTAATTTTAATTTGTTTAGAAAAATAATTTTTAAGTTTTTAACAAAACTTCCATCTATAGTTAAAAAAAATAAAATGGTAAAAAATAGAAGTTTTTTATATTTTTAATGAAATATCATGATTTCCGAGAAATCAACTGTTTAAAGTTTTTTAAGTTTAACTTTTCAAGTAAAAAATTGTAATCATCTATACTGGAAATTATTTACATTTTCATTGGCCATGCTTAACAAGTGAGACTTGTGAGAAATTGGTAAAAATTAAAACGATCGCATAAGTTATAGATTTCGTAAATAATAATATGTAGATTGCATAATATATTGATGGATTTTTGGTTTGTCAAACAAAATCAACAACTGCTTGGTATTGTATAAAAAGGTGTGTTGTTAGCACTTGTTAATTAAGAGTTGGTAATTACACATGGTAGGAGATAAGGGGCGTATTTTAGGGAGGGGCGAAGGGGGCGATCGCCAACCCTGAATCCGTATTTAAGGAATCGATCATATGTGAGATAAACACTTCAAATTTTTCACGAAACTTAGTGTTCATGCCAGGCCACCAAAACGTTTTTATAACGTTATAAGTAAAATGTTAAACTATTCAAAAAGCGATTAAAATTGATAACAGATAACGAAACAAACGAAAAACGATTAATGATTGAAACATAAGAGAAATTGCCATCAAAAAATATTTATAACTTGGGCTGTGAATTTAATGCACTAAAGAACCTTAAAAAATGCATTAAAAATGTCAAAAAAATGCAATAAAATATGCACTTTAAATGCAAAGAAATTCAATATAAAATACCAAAAATTATAGTATAAAATGGTTTTTAATTTAATTTTTATATTTATATTAATATTAGGTACAGGATATTATACACATATTATACATTACATGCATAAATAAGTGTTTAATTAATAAAAAAAAATTTTTGATTTGATGATTGAGTTTGATTTTTCTATACTATATTTTAGTATTTATTTTGTTAAAATAATCAAATAAACTTCAATATATTTATTTTCGGGTACGTTATTTAGTCTTTAGTCTTTAGAATTTGATTAAAAATACCAGAAAATTTACTAAAAAAGGAAAATATGACCAAAAAATTCACAAAAATGACCTAAAAAATTTAAAACATCAAAAAACGCAAAATAAAAAGTAGCATAAATGGATTCGTAGTTACATTATAAAATTATTACAAAATATATTTCCGTAGAGAATCTAAAATTAATGATAAAATAATTAGGGGTGGGCCGATCCAGAACCGATGGTATCGGTTGGTATCGGCCGATATTGGTGGTATCGGAAATATCGGTATCGGTTTATTTTCAAAACCGATATTTGAACCGATACCGCAAAAACTACTTGTGATTATAATATCGGGTATCGGTTTTATCGGTTTGTGGTATCGGATTAATTTTAGTATAGGTTCATGGTTTTGCCAAAAAAGTTGATTTTTTTTATGTAATATATTAAAAATCAACTTAGTTTTTACTTGTGATTATAATATTGGGTATCTGTTTTATCGGATTAATTTTAGTATCGATTCATAGTTTTGCCAAAAAATTTGATTTTTTTTTATGTAATATATTAAAAATCAACTTAGTTTTTACTTATGATTATAATATTGGGTATCGGTAAAAAGTGGTATTGGCCCATCCCTAGTTATAAACATGTAGTTACAAGGGATTAATTAAATTTTTTCGAACGTATCGAGAGAAAACAATTGTCGAGCGAAGCAAGAAAATTTATTTTAAGATTAATATCCATATTTTTTTAATTCGTATACTCGTAAATATATTTACCAATACATTACTGATTAAAGGTAATATATATAACATAATGTTATATATATATAACATAATTTTAAAAAATGTAATGTTATTTTATATAGTATTGATTGCAAAATACTACATTTGAAAACATTTTAAATTTTACACTTATTTAAATAACGCAAAACGCTAAATTGTTTATAACGTTTTAATAACAGTAAACGGAAATTTTTTTAAACTTTAAATTTGTATAATATTTAAATACTGAAATTGAATAACGTTTAAATTATTTATAGTGTTAAACGCTCAATTGCTTATAATGTTTAAATGTCTCATAACGGTAAACATATATATTATTTTGATTTAAGCCCTGGTCCATACTTAGCGAAAAATCAAATAAAACACAAGCAAAACTATCAAAACACAGATAGTTGTTAAAAAAAAACTACACAAAAATCCATTCTAAGTGAATCGGGCATTAGATTAAAAAAAAAAAACCACAAATATTAAGGATTTACTTGATTTATATATTAACAAAAATTTTACTTGTAAATTTTGATCCTGAATTAAAGAAAAAATTTGAGTTACCCCTTATCCCCCTAGAAATAAGTCTAAATATGCCCCTGTAGGGAGATTTACGTAATCACAACAATATTTACTTGATTAAAATGGTTAATTACTAACGGTGACTTATCAAAATACCGTATGATAATACAATTAATATTCACTTACATGACGAACGTATGGGGCTTCCGAGTGATGTTTCGTAGGCATAAAAATTAATTTCAAGCGTTCAAAAAATTGTATTCCGTCAATAGATGATATTCCCATGTAGAGAAATACGCCAAAAAGAACAGCCATTGGTACTAACCTCAATAAAGAGGACATTATTACTGAACAGCCAACCATTATAGATACCAACAGAGAACTAACTCTTTGCTCTGAAAAATAACAATATGTATAAAAAAAAAAGCTAACTTCATTCATTTAAATAAGTTCAGAACATAATATATATTTAAAATTAAAATAACGATATCCAAATAGGTTTAAATTATATATTTTTTCGATCTCAAAAATGTCTAAAAAGATAAAATTATTTATATTTTACATGAAGATGAGTATTTATTGCAACTTGGTATAAGAAATTGTAATGATAGTAAAACTAGTTTCCTAATCATAAATAACGGTGGTTTTGAAAAAGAATATATAGAAACGGGGTTCAAAAATATTGAGCAATCACTTATGAATCATAAGTTATGATATATACAAAGTGAATACTATGTTAGAAATATATTACCCACATTTAAATTATCGTGTTGCACGAGTGTTACATCCAACCCAATTCATTTTCACCAATAATATGTTTCAATCGTACTACGTATTGAGTTTGTGTAATTATTTAACTTAAAACAGTTTTTTGTTATTAACATTCTACCTCGATAATTTTATGTTGATGGTTTTTGACAGTTATTTATTTACTGTCGAAGATAATTCCTTTGGTTATATCTAATCCATATAATGTAAATAAATCCAATATATTGTAATTCTTTAAAAATAAACTTTGAACATACCTTTTACTTCAATAATGTGAGGTTTTTGACCAGGAGCATGAGTTCTGCTCATTACTGTCAGTGATGATACATGGGCAACAGATCTGACGGTAGCCGCGCTCATCCAAGGAGCACCAATTATACCACAAATAAGATTAATAAAATTAACTAGCACTATGTCCAGATGAAAACCACTACCTTTCTGTAGTTTACGCTCTTTCTTGGCGATTATCAGCCTGTAAAACGTTTGAATGAAAAAATAAAAGTATGCATTTTTTTGCGTAGTAAAATATCGGTAGACATACTCGCTGATGTGTGTCTCCATAAATACGAGAATGTAGACCAGTAGAGCGGGCACGAAAGCGACGAAAGGTACCCAGGGATCGATGGGACCCTTTAATCCACTGGGTGATATAAACCATCCACGGGCTTCAGGATCCGAAGGTGTTAGTCCTTCAGGAACCTTGAGTTTTTCGGTGTATGTTGTAGGATTAAAATAATCGGCTGCTACCATTGATATGATGGCTATAGGAACGCCAAAATCACCTAAAGCTCGACGGATCTAAAAGAATCATATATATTAAGTATCATTTCAAACATTTGTATTCGTGTGCATGAATTGCATATTGTTCGGAGAATTCAATTTAATGTTCAATTTAAATAACTGCAGTAATTATCTATATATTAAATCAATTAAAAAAAATAAGTTTTTTATAAATCAGAAAAATATGCAATAATGTATATTATATAGATATTAAGAGTATCAATTATATTATATAATGACATAAAAATTAATTTACATTTCTTCCAAGAAATTTGCTATTTCTGAAATGCCGAAGGTAATAGGCAATAAAAAATGTTCCCAATGCTAAAATAGTACACAACAATGCAGTATTTGGTTGTTTTGTAATTAATGTTTGGTGATCAACTGGTCTAAATATGTCTGTACCACTATAAAATAAAATAAACTTTGTTTATTTTCATTAAAATTTATAATATTTAAACTAAAATTATTAAAATTTCTATCAATAAAATATATTGATTTACAATTTTAATTATAAATATTTATGATGATATGATTAAGAATATAATAAGTTCTTACTTCGAGGTAGAGTTATAATCTGTAGAGTTTGGGTTGAAAAGTGAATTTTCAATGCGTATCAAAGCATCTTCTTCGCAATATTGTTTCAACGGTAACAGCGGATGTTTTGTAAATACCTATTTGTTATGAACAAAAATGTGATACATTATAAATCAAAGAATATTTAGCTACGTTTAAAAAATTCTTGTAATAATCACAAAAATAATACATACATTAAGACACTTTGATATACTTTCCCATATGTAAATCAATGATATAAGTGAAGCAAAAATTTCCTCAGTAAATCTTGTAAATACTTTAACCATCACACTGCCTTCGAGGCAGCTTACTAGTAAAGCAATGATCAACAACCAAATCCCAATGTAAACTCTCATTGGTAAGAATTCGATGTCATTACTACGGCAAAACTAAAAACAAATATTTTAAATAGTTTTGACAACCATTAAAATAAAATAATTAAAATTTATCTAAACTAAAATTAACTTACGCTGAATAGAGCATCATCAAAAAGCAATAAAGGTCCTGTGGTTCCGACTATCAACAATGGTTGTCCTGAAAACAACGAGAAAATTACCCCAGCCACAGAGGTAGCAATCAGAGTTTCAGATATACCAATGAAATTTTTCGTTTTATCGGCTGAAACATGTAGAAAATCATATTTGAGTTTAAAAACACAGATTTACCCACAGATATATACAATAACTAGATAGCTAACTAGCACAAAATTTGGAAGTCAACCACCATATGTGTGGTAGTCAATATTTACATTAATTATTATCATTTCTTATCATTATAAAATATAATTTAAATGAATGTGTTATATAGTAATTTAATATATTTATTATAAAATTATAAAATTTACAATTAAAGTTTTAATTACGTATGACTAATGTGTATAACTATGTAATATAATAATATATAAATGTTTATATGTTTGGAAGCTCCTAATAAATGTACAGTTGATTGAACCTTCAACACAGTCGGCTCTCGTATGTGAGGCAAAGCTGCAGTACTAAAATCCTGGGTTCGCCACTGGAACCATACCAAAGCAATTAAAAAGTATAATTGTATAATTAGGTAAAAAAAAATAGTATTTGAAACTTCAATAACATAATATTTACTATTTAATATGATATCTTAATATTAATATTAAGATATAAATATATTAATATTAATATGATATTTTAGATCATATATACAATGGATGGAGTCATACAAATAATTTGTGAAGCCAACATAACAGTAGGACCGCAGTGATATGCGCATGCGCGTGGCATCTTATCATTAATTTTTGGCGCAGATATTAATTAATTGATTATTGAACAAGATAACAATCAACTATAAAGTATGTTTGTTAAGTTTCTAAATGCATTATTATAATATTATAATATAAGTATTTGCTATGTCAAGATGCAAAGATGGGCAAGTTAATGAAAATAATTAACTCGAGTAAAGTTAAGAGAACACAAGATCAATAAGTTAAAAATTAACAGTTAACAATTCATAAATTTAACTTAATAATTTACTAGTTAATAAGAAAAAAAATATTATCTCAACTCAATTTAAAAAAAGTTAATCTACTTTTTTAATTAATAAGTAGATCACATAAAAAGTGACCTCATTCTTCATAAAGATTTATTTCCTAAATTATAATAAACAATTCTATTGAATTTTTCATCATAATATACAGCAGTGGTGCTGAAGTGTTTGAAAAATACTATGACATTGTACAATGTAAATCAAGGGGCCACTCACTACTATATTTATTTATCTTTATAGTTAAAATTCTTTATACAAAACATTCTGTATCCAGAACCCAATACCCAAAGGTGGGCCCCCCCTAACCTATAATCTTATATGACATCTGATTTACAGTGTATACGACCATTTTACTTTACATGATTATTTAATTTTTGTATTAATATTTATGTATAAATGAAAAATTTAAAATTTTTTTAACTTGATCCTTTTTAAATCAACTATAAAAAGCTAAATTATTTCAGCTGCCAGTTTCTCTAGTTAAGTTAAAAAGATTAAAAAAAAATAACTTTTTAACTTAACTTTAGCTTTTTAATTAGTTAATGCCCACCTTTGTCATAATGATGATCAATAACAATGTTTCGTAAATTCAGAATTAGTGATGTCTAAATTCAATTTTAAGCCGAAAAACAGATTGACATTTGATAAGCATGCGCGCATGCGCAGATGTCACCGATCTTACAGTTATGTTGACTTCAATTCATTCTATAGGTATGATATGCGATGGCTCTATCCATTGTATATGATCTAAGATAATAATATTTAATATGATAATAAATTTAAACTGATAAAATTATAACAAACAAAAACATTGAATACCATGCATACGGCTTTCGGCTTCTTAATCATAATACGTCAGACATAATCAGTTAGCTATCTAGTTATTGTATATATCTGTGGATTTACCAGAAACGCAACTAATAAGACATAGATTTTCAGGTTTACTAACCCATTAGGCCGCCGAAAGTGATTGCTGCTGATAAAGCGGCAAAATATATAAATATCGCGGACGCTATACATTGTAAATTCAATCCTTGGGAGAAATCAGAAGCGTAATACGGTAGTCTGCGTTTTATGTCCTTGACCAATCCACCCCATGGTTTTTTAGTACGTTTTAAAGGATCATCTTTGTTATCATCGCCTTTGTCGCTCAAAGTCGAAGTTAAGTTTGCGACTGTAAAACACAACATAAATGTCAAATTGTTATCCATCATCAAAAATTAACCTCCACAGAACGCTTATGATAAGCAACACAATAGAGTATAACATGAACGTATATAAAAAAATATACCTTTTTGAACGGCAGCACGTATTTTTCGCCTTTTGATTTGCTCACTTTTTTCTTTGAGCTCTCGCAATGATAACAATTCTTCTCTTTCCCAATCGCAAGGTGGCAACACAATACTACTGTCGAGAAATTCATTTAGTAAACTGATCAGTTCTTTGCGTTCTGTAGCTTTGTAAGCTTTACAATGAAATTCCTAATATTTAAATAGAAATTTGGTTAGTTAAATTTTACAATGCACTTTATTTAAAACAATACTGAAGATCGTAACATTATAACTTACAGAATTTGACATTAAAGTTGACATTGATCTTCCTACTTCGTGATAGTCAATATCTTTTGGATCCGGAGGACCCAAAAGTATGAACATGAATCGTACTGGTATTGATACTTCCGTCAATGAAGGAATCATGATGCCTTCAGCTAAACGTACAAAAGCCGCAGTTCTTTTCTTCAAGAAATCTACAGAGCCAACTAACACCGTAGTGGCTTCAGCGCCTATTGGTATTCGTTTAAGGATACTTTCTTTTTGAGCTTTTTTAACCATATCTTCAGTTGATGAAGTATATGTCTCCTCTTTCATATCAATATGAATATTATTTTTGTCCAAATCCAAGAAAGAACGATTGTTATTATTGTTGTTGGCACCGAATTTAGGGCTTGAATGCATCTCGTGACTCGATAAAGTACTTTTCATATTCGATTTCCTGTCATCATTTAGATTCTGTACACCAAAATAAATAAAAGTAAATGATTTGTAAAATATATCAAAATTCATGTAGTGGTGTAATTAAAAACATTTCAAAGGGTTATTTATGTCTACTTAGTATTATAGATTAAAAATTGTTTGGGATCTAAGAAAGATAATTAAACTACATAATTAGAGCATGATATATTGTTTAGTTGGGATTTATTATTTATATTACGTATTAACATTAACAAGCATATCGTGAATATGTTATGGATCATTGGCCTATAGCCTAATCCCAAAAGATGTTAAGATAATTAAAAAAAGCGATTCAGATGGTTCTAGCAGGTGAACACTTGTCAATCAAGGAGTTTTAACTAAACATAGTCTATTCTACGGCAAAACAAACAATTAAAATGCCTAAATGTTAATGAATAATGCATAATATTGTTATAAAATATAATTATATTCAACCAAGAAACTTAGTTTACATTGTGTGTAAGTGATGCCGACCGCTTAGCCAGAAATTCTGCCTCAAATTGCTGTCAGAAAAACAATATTTAAACAAAATTACATAGATACCTATTATCAAATCTATTCTTTAAGAAACGAGGCTTTCAAAATAAAAATAAATAAATATTCTTTCAATAATATAAGTTCAACAGAAAAATACGTTGAACAACGTAGTAACTTAGAAAATATTAAATTCATATTATAATAATAAAAAAGAAGAATTTTAAAAAAATATATTCTGAAGCCATAAGAAAATATAGAGTATCAACAGATACTAAAATTATATTAATATAGTAACAATTACCGTAAGACTTGTGTAGCTGGATGTATTTCGTCTAATAAACCTACTAAACTTATCACTGTCCTGATGGACGTGTTTGTGTCGGAGCAACAACAATCTCATGACTGCAGCTTTATCGTCTTGGTTGATAAGTTCTTCAATAGCCATCTGTTCAACTACTCGGTATATCACACCAGGTAGGTCCTTTTCCTCCAAATCCAATAAAATAACTCCTGGAAGAATATATTTTAAATTATTTTCACTTTGCGATTTTTACATGATATCATTAAAACGTACCCGACTCCAAAGACCTTCTCACGTTTAACAACGAATGGAAACTCAAAGAAGCCACATGTGGTCGTCCCCATCTGTCTGTACCCTCCTGTACATCTTCCTCGTACTTGATCCATCGAGCAGTTTCTTTCCATTCTCGCTCGACCCCAGTTCCTTTTAACTCATCCAGTTGAACAAAAACCTATAATAATATTTTGTTAATTATAAAAACAAAACATGAATTATATTAAATAATAAGTTCAATATGTTGATAATACGAATTTTATATCAGTACGACTTTTTTTTTTTTTTTACTAGAATTATTATATTATGTATATATATAGAAAACCTAATTAATGAAGTATATCAACTTTCTGAAACAAGGTAATCATTTTAATAATCAATGTAATTTAATTTCAAAACGACATTAAACGTACCGCATGGGGACTATGATCTACGTATTTCTTGATCACTTTTATTGGCAAGCCGATTAAAGTTCCATCTATGTCTCCAGAATACGGCAACAGTAACGTTTTATTTTTTCCACTGAATCTTCGCTTTTCTTTGTTACAGTCGTATCTATGACCTAATATTTAGTAAAAATATTAGTGAAGTCAATAATTTTTATTTATTTTTTTAATCAACTTTAATAAATATTTCTATTGTATTTTATCTTATTACGTTTTGTTATCCCAAAATGTTTTAAGTTAATAAATTAATAACGTACACAATTTAAAAGATGTAACAAAAAATTAAATAATATATTTATTAATTATTACTAAAAATAAATTAAAAATATATTTTACCATAGTAACTGTGTAAAGGGATGTCAAACATTATTATAAAAAAAGAAAAACTTATAAAATAAAAATTTTCATTGATTTTGAGAAACTTTAAAATATTAACAAAATAAAGACAAGGTGTTGAATTAAATATTTAAAAAAATGCATTATACAACTAGCTTAAACAAATTGAAAAACCTTAATACCATGTCTATTAATGTTACAAAAACGATAATACATTACAAATATTTTTGAGTATGTGTTTATTTTTACAATAAAAATCAATGTTAAATTTAAGATGAATCTGCTTATCATATGTTATCATGTAATTTGTTCTATCGTTAGTTCATTAATTAAATTTTTTATGACATTATATAACACTTAAACCATGCCAAATAAACACACCATACAATAATAATAACAAATAGTACGTTTTTAAAACAAGTATAAATAATTCAAAACTAATATTACGTAAAAAAAATAGTTTTAAAATCATTGATTTGTTGTAGATTTCTTAATTTACTAAACTTTTTTACTTGGTATTTATTAAAATAATAAACAAAACTACATTAATACATTATTATAATGTATACTATAATAATATAATAGTAGGTAATACTGTTTAACTAATAAAATTTATGATGAATTGAAAACTGTATTTTAAAATCTGAAGTTAAACGATTTAGGAAAAATCTATGATTGATCGTAATACATTTTATTATATAATGTTTATATAACACAACATCACAACAAATTTATATGGGTTCCTCATAGTATACCTACTAATACACATAAACTACAAACTATAATTTCGATTAAATTCATCTTATATTAAATAAATGAACATTCGAAAGTAATAAGTTTTTTAATTTTAATTTAATATCACACCCATACTTAAAATTATGCCCCGTTATTATTTACTATAGATTAGTAAGAGCCAGTCTTAAAATTATCTTACTTGTTAAATCATCTTGAAGAAACTCATCTAAATTTTCATCAAGCTGTAAATTATCCTGTGGTATAAAAATTTCTCGTTCATTATGCTTATGACGACTATGATGACGGTGATGATGTCTTTATAAAAAATAAATTGGAAGTACATGGCGTATTAATATAAAATATTTGTATATATTCAATTCTATTATAATTCGTTAGAATAATTCGTACCTAAATATATAATTATTTTAATTATTTTTAAAAGATTACATAAAAATATTGAGCAAAACCATTTTTGTATATATTCATAAATCAAAAAACCTTTTTGGTATGTACTTATATGAAAATGAAAACTGTTGAAAGTTTTAAGTTGGACATAATATATTTAAATTAGTTTAAATACTTCTCAGATTTTCGTGAATAAAATGAAATACCAGGATGAATCATAATAAAATAAATTAATGGATTCAAATATATTTTCCTAGTTATAAAAATGTATTATCCAATGATATACTAAATTATTTTTTTGTTTTGGTACTGAATTAGTTAAGCTCTAATGTTAAATATCAAACTTAAGTATAAATCATTAATTAAAGAACCTTATTACTAATAAGTTATTAGATAGTTGTTGGAAATTATTTATAATACCTATGTTTTCGCTTTTTTTTCTTGATTTCTTGGTGGAGTCCTTGTTGAGTTGTATCGAGTTCTCTGTGTTGATTGTAAGCCGCTTCTTCATTCGTCTCGTCTGAAATTTAAAATGAAACCAATTTATTAAAATTACGAGTTTCATTATTAATTTTTCCCGTACACCATAAACACAGTTTTCGATGGTATAAGATAAATACGTTTTGCATAATAGTGGTATAAACAATATTATACTCATCAGAGATTAATTTTTAACACATATATTCAATTAAAAATACTGGTCGCTCCATCGTAAATCGATACTAGTTAGTCATAACAACATATTTATATACTAAGATAAACGTCAATTTTTTGTTTTTAATAAAAATATTAAAACAGATCTAATAGGTTAGGTAATACTTTTACCTACTTATACCTTTTAGGTATACAGAAACGATGAGCCTAGAGTCCTACCACAGTAAATCTGTGTTCAAAGTATATATCGTGTAGTTTGATAGATATTTTGTACATATTTCAATCATTAATGTACTGCGTAAATCGCTCCAAGGCTAAATATTCGAGATGTTTGGGCAATGCGGGCCTTGCTAAAACGGAACCTTTTTCTCCCTTTTCTATAACGCGCCATTATAATCCGTATGAAAATACACGCACGCGCATTAACACGTTTCGTACAGAAAAGAAGATCCGATTCGTAAACAAACGCATATATTTCTTGAAGTGTTAGAAACAAAATAGTTTGAACATGTTTTTTTAAGAAATATATTGCTCTGAAAATTAATATACCTACCTCGTAACCTAACGATCGAGCGGACACTTATACACGTGTGAAATATTTTCCTTCTCCATCAAAGGGATACCTGTTTGCTTTAGCGCCCGTCGGGGGGGAGGGCCAAAGGAGCTATTGCCCCTATTGAGAATTTTTGTTTCAAAATTATTGTTAATTTAATACCACGCAAATTAATTATAACATAATTTTATTGAGATCGATTTATGAAGTTTAGTAAATTGTATTATATTTTTAGATAATTTAAAATGTATAATCTTGAACGTATTTATTAGTTTACAATGTTTACACTTGACTACATAACGCTTAAAACTATAAATTCTCCCGAGTACCGATTAATATGGTATTTGATTTTATTCTCATCTATTTTTAGATCATGTTGTTTTGGCTTTTAAAATTTTAATTTTGTCCCGGGTAGGATTTTATCCTACGGGCGCGCTTGCTTGTTTATAAAACCGATTTTAATTCAAATATTTCTGGTGTAATTGTCAGAGGTGAAACATTTATTGAAATTCCTTAACATTTACTTTTAATGATGATATTTTATACGACTTCTTTAGGTAAATGTGATTTCCATATTATAAGTAGAGCAACAATGAGTCATTGGTTTATGGAAGCTGTATATAATGTAGGATCGTTGAACACAATGGTGCAGACATTTGGGACCTTATTCATTCATTAAATACCAAATCATCCATAAATAGGAATATTAAAGAAAAGTAAAATATAACAGCACTCATTTATTAATGGTTGATATATTATAGCGCGTTATGATCTTTAAACTTGTATATTATGTATAGTAGGCTGATGTCTAAAATTCAACTTTGAAATTATTGAGGCACCAAGCAAATTCAAAAAATAGCTGCAGAAAAAATTCGTAGTTGAATTCATAAAGTTTTTAAGGTCGCTACTAGCAGACAAAATAATTTGACAATCGAAAAGAGCTATACACGATAGTTACTAAAATTACTAATATATTTATAAATATATATATTCTAGTTCTAAGAAATCGGTTGTTGGATGGCTGATCTAATAATGATTATTACAACAATAAGTATTTTGATAATGTGAGCACAAATGCACAATAAAATCTCCCGATCGTCATGGTCGCAAATTTATCGACACGTCAGTCGTCATCGTCGTTGTGTACAATTGACGTACAAAGTTCTAATGGCTTTTATATTTCATTTTGGACTCTATTTTTTTTTTTTTTAATAATCGTTATTCTCACGATTTATATCAAACATTTATTAATAGCGGTTTCGATAAGACAAATGATTTAAGTATAGATTGGTCATATGTCACTAAATTTAAGCGGAACTATGATAAATTTACCTTCAAAATAAGAGGTAATAATTTTATTTTTTATTATAAAAAGACTATAAAATCAGTTATTATCGTATAACCGTTTACTTGATATTAAAATTAAAATTATTAATTTAAACTTATAATTTTATCTAAAAACTAATAAAATTAAATATATAAACATGAATATTATTTCTAATGTGCCAATTTATATTTTTACTAACTTTTTCTAAGAAAAAAAAATTAAAAATTGTTCTACAATTTATTGTAATACTTTGAATACAAAATATGACATACGTTTTATTTCATTCATTACATATTAGAAAAAAATACAAATTCATCAGTCTATCATTTATCTAATCATTAATCATTTCCAATAATAATTATGCCTACACAATTCAACTTAATAATTAATAATTATTTATTATTACAAAGTAACTAAAGCAAATTAATTAGGTAATACTTTTGTATTCTTCATAGTGTCAACAGTTCAAGTGCTTTAATCAAAACATTGTGATCTTAATTAAAGCAAACGTCAGTAAATTATTCATTAAGATCGAGTACAGACTTCAATTAATTTAATGAAATACTTACTCTTTAATCTAGATAACAATATTTGACTACCATGTCAAAGCATAACTAAATACAAAATATAAATGTATAAAGTAAAATTTGAAAGTATTGTTTTATAAATACTTTCTAACGATTTAAAATAAAAAATAAAAAGTATAGATGATAACAATAATTGTTAAGTTCTGAGCGAAATGATTTATCACATTATTCACAATACGACAATATTTAAGTAAAAAAAAAATTGTTTTTATAAAATTGATCAATAAAAATGCTCATCAACTTCAGATATTGACGGATGAACTTAATCTATCATACGAAGAGAAAAAGAAAGGACGAAAGAAAATGTACATAATATTATACATTATTTAACTATATTTAATTTATGATGTCAAATGCATCACTGAATTGATGTATTACATTAATATAATTAATGTAAAATGTTTACTACCAATAACAATATAAGCGTCACATTAGAATATATTACCGTATAATTGGCGAGTAAGTAATAAAAACATATAAATGCATTTGCGTTTCATTGAGCTTATTGACTTACTTATGTTAAACTGTACGTGTTTATCTTCGGAATCTTCTCTGAAATAATGACCGAATTTGGGTTTTTCGTACATAGGAGTACCACATTCACTGCTTAAAAGACCATCTTCAACTCTTGAACCGTCCGATTCTACGTCTACAAAGCTTGGATCGATGCCAGTAGCAACTGCAGAATAAACCATACCGCTATTGCTAAATTATATAAAATAATGACAAGAATTAATGCTCATTTCTTACATAAAAATTGTTATTTTTATTTATTATTATTTAACTTATATTAACTACGAAATAAACTGGATTGGCAATGGTAGTATGGATCTTTTTAATATGCTGATTCATTATAGTGATTTTTATTTTAACGATTTTTTTTCTATATTTTTTATACTATATAACATTATTATTATATTTAAATTCTTAATGACAACCTTCAAAAAAAACTAAACATTTTACCTAAAAAAGGAGATTTTCCTGTAATACGTAATTACATATGTATTACAAATTAATTTGTAAGGGAATTAATTTATTTTAATTTCAAGCGGGACTTTATCTTAAGTCCTAAAATGTTTTAATGATTTTTATAGACATTAATACTAATTGTTAAGTTTAATATTAAAATAAATGTCGTGAAAATTCGAACGTAACTTTTTAACCTTTCGTTCTAAATATAAATATACTTTTTTTATTTACTTCATTTTGTGCCTTAATTACCATTTTGAGATTAAAAATGTATTCTATTTCATAACTTTTAAATTATATATAAGTAAATATCTTTACATCGAGGCCATGGAAAAGTTTAAGTTTCCATTGCAAACTTTGTAACAAACATATTTTTTAGGATTGCATATAAATTGATATAACATATGAAAAACGTTGATTTAGTTATATTTAGAAAGAATAAGAATTATAATATTTAATAAAAAATAAAACTGAATTGGAAATCTTAGTTTTGAATTATTGCACTTGTTTATCCATATCAGGGTTTGACCTTAGTCACAAATCACAGTAAAAGTTTGAAGGACTTCTGAAATCAAGCAAGTTTTTAAAATGTACCGCCTTCAAGACTAATTAGTGATTTTTATTTCAAGGTTAGGTTAGGTTATATTCAATTACTACTCGTACTACTCGTATTTATACGGCTATCGACTTCTTATCCTTTTCAATATATTAAAGTTTCATATTGTGACCCGTTGTGTTTAATTCTGAAATAATTGCTAAAAAAATATAACTTTGTGATAAGAATGAAATATGATTAAAATATAAAAATAGAATTTAACTATATTTTATTTATAATGTTTATTTCACAGCATATTTTTTGAATTTAATAATGTAAAAATAATATAGTTCTATACATTAAATTCAATATTCCTTTACTTCTTCTACTTCACCTTTGTCCCAACTATTTGAGATCGGGCACCCTTGTTCTAAACCTTCACTGTCTCGATTTTCTACATCCTCTACGCACACACCAACAGCTCTCAATCGTATTCAACCATCTCTTTTATGGTCTTCCTCTTCCTCTTTTCCCTTCAACATTCATTTTCATAACTACTCTTACTAATTTTATTTCCTCTCGTCTCATTACATGCCCAAACCATCTCAGTCTATTTTCTCTTATCTTGTTCACTATTGACGATACACCAATACTCTTCTCACATATTCGATCCTTATTTTATATTCTCTTGTCACTCCATTCATCCAAGTCAGAGGTTTCCAACAAATGCCCCCCCCCCCAAGGTGTAAAATAGGATTTTTTGAGGGGACATATTAGACTAATTTTTATTTTATTTTTTATTCTTTAGTTCTTATGTATTTATGTACCTCTTATTATTATAATTATTATTATTATATTATTGCCTTCATATAATATTTATACAGTGTATTCTCGATAATCTGCGGTCCTCTGCGAAACTAATCATGTACATAAATACAAACAAAAAATAAAAGAACTTAATGTTTCTATACATAATACATATATCCCATATATTCATTTTTGCGATTCCATAAATCGGTCTAACTGGGTTGCGATAATCGATAGCCCAATAGTTCGGATTATACGTTAGGCCTGGCACATGCATCTTTTTGATGGGGCGGGTTATTTACTAATATCTTACCCGGTTTATGAGTAATAGTCTTAAAAAGGTTAGGAACCACTGATCCAAGCATTCTTATTTCCGCAACACTCATACTCTTTTCTATTTTCCTGTCAACCACCCAATACTCTAAACCATATAGTATAGTTGGTCTAGCAATACTCCTGTAAAATTTACCTTTCAGCCTCTGGAATTTAATTATCACATACAACGCCTGATGTTTCTCTCCATTTTAACTAACTTCATTTAATACTATGTTTTACATTAAATTCAATAATGGTTAATAAATTACTTAAGAATTTATAATCTGAAATACATATAATATGTATTATTATAACAGGAAATGTAACTATGTGTAACATTATTAAGTTAAAATCAATAAATTGTAATATTTGGCATGAAGATAACTTTTTGTTTTTGTTGTCAATTCATATTAGAAAACTCTTAACAAAAATTATATTTAATGTTAAAATTATGATAAAATATAGTGTTCATATAATTTATCGTAATGTTCAGCAATTATCTCCAACAAAATCTTAACTAAGTATCATCAACATACATAAAAGTGGATAAATAAAAATTTCTACCATTGGACTAGTTTACTTTAGTGCATATTTGAGCATATTTATTTTTTATTTATATTTATTTCTTATGAGACATATAAATAAATATAATTATCCTAAATAATCAACAGAAACCAGTATGGAAAAATAAGAATAGCTGATAAAGTAAAGAATCTATGAACTGATTTTTATAGTGTCTTTCGCTATTTAAATTTTTTTATCAACAATTTTAAGTACAGTTCGGTAAAATTTGTTTTAATACCTCTCGAGTACTCTGAATGAAATATATTGGGCGGATCAGTTTATATTTCTATAGTTAATTAATATAGTAGAAGAACCAAATTTCCAAATATGGTAGATTTAACTCTTTATGTTCTAATTTAAAGTACCTATAAATAGCACAAATATCATTAAAATATTTCAAAACTTTGAAATGTCTTTAACGAAATAACTAACATCGATTCATTTGCATTAATTGATTTTAGTTTTTTAGTTGAAATATCTGATTTTGTCAACATTTTATTTTGTCATATTTTATAATGTTTTATGTAATTTTCTTAAAAGGATCCAATATTTATTTTTTTATTTTTGATACAAATTGACAAATTTGATACAAAACGTTTATGAAAAATCTTGTCTTTATTTTCTAGCCATAAGTATAAAAAAAAACTTCTTGATAAAAATAATAGATACATTCTTTGTTTCATTCGGAATCTAAAATTCAGATTCTTATATAAACGATTGAATGTTAAAATTAGATTGTAGTTATTAATTAATTAAATTTTATTTATAAATAAAATATGGACAACTTGATCAATTTCCTTTATTATTAAGCCAATTATTCAAAAATATTATGATCTAACATTTTTATAATCAATTCAATAACCATTAGAGTGAAACAAATATACAGTTAACAATACAAATACCTAATAGTTAAAAAATAAAAACAATGGTTAACCAATATCATTAATATTATGTGTTCTGAATAACATTTAGTGATTAAAACTGCCTATTAGAGTACTTAAAGGTCATTACAAACTCATAATTATTTTAAATTTTTATATCTGTAGGACATTCGCTTTTTGTACTATCAAAAAAGGGTTTATTGGACTAAAGTGATTTCCACGTGTTATTTTACAATAAAAATACGATTATTTGAATTTATATATTCACGAAATTAAAAAAATTCATTTTGCTATTTTAGGATGATTTGATAGTTTAAACATCTTTGAACACATATATTGTCTAAACGCAACAAAGCTAACGTATTATCGTTAAATGGAATTGAAAACATTCGTACTTCGAGATACACTTGTAAAAAATATTCTATAGTTAATATAAGTTAATATAAGCTAAAATTAATATAGTGTCACATGTCAAAAATTGTAAAAATATAGACACTATCTGGATTTGAAAGCCATTTTTTTACAGCAATACTAATACATTAATATTGGAAATTAATAATTTTGCATACGTAAATAAAAATATCAATTTTTATTAAGATTTTGAACACCTTATGTATCTATAGTTTTGGTTTTGAATGTCTATTTTTCTTACACATTAAATAATATTAAATTTACAAGCTGAAGTATATGTCGATTCTTATAGCAGTAAATTATATCTCAACGAAAATGTAATTAATTGTATTGTTTTACGTTATTATTGGATGAGTAGCCCAAACGTTTACAAATCAAGACAATATTATTCTCCACTATTTTGTCTTTATATCACCACATGTTTGAGTAGCTAATTTGGTATATTGTTATATGTTTATACATTGATGATTATAATAATGAATTTTTAAGCTCGAAATTCAACAACAGACTGAACAAAATACAAGACCTATAACTAGTGTAAAAAATCAACTTTAACATACACTACATGCTTTAACAGAAACGCTTAAAAGAAAAATACATTTGTTGGTAAATTGTGACACTAAAAGAATTATCTATACCAACAGTTGTAAATTCAATATCATGAAAAGTTTCTTGATTGAAGAGAATTTAGTCTTAATTAACAATTATATTTGAATACATTTTTCGTAATTATTATATTAATTAAAAATATTTTACCATTTTTTAAATGACTTTAAATATTATGATGATATAAAACAAAATGGCTCAATTTTTCAATGAATATTCATCAAATATAAAATAAATATGATAATAATTATGAATATGAATACTAAACGGCTTTTAAAATATTTTATGTACAATACTTATTTTTAGTAGATTATATTAATTAATACATTTTTTAATTTATTTTAGTTCTTAAATTACTATAGGTAATAAGGTGCCGACTTTCTAAAAATATTACATTTAGGAATGTATTATATATTTATTGATATACTTTATTCATATAAAATTATTTTATTTTACTGCATATTAGAAAGTATATTGGTATTTATTAATAATGAATTATAATGAAAATTTTAAGTAAATATACTTTAATTTAATAAATTTGTGATTATATCTACATAAATCAATTTAGAACGTTAATAACTAAAACAATTTATATAACTTAAAACAAACTAGTTTAAAAAAACATTTAAGTTATTTCCCTACCAGTTAAAGTAATTTGAAAACTATTAAAATAATCAAGTATATTATTTACCTGGATGTTTGTTGACTGGTAGTTGGAGGGCTCATTGCACTATCAGAATCAGTTACATCCCTATGATCATCTGTCCTCTTAAATTCCTTAATAATTAATAATGATATTAACATGAAATATGTTTTTATTAGAAAGTTAAAAAATACAAAATAAAAATATAAATAATTTACCGTCTCCAGATCTCTAGATCTTATGGATGTCGTAGATTGTTTTCTAATTGATTTTGGAATGGACTTGAGTGGTATGTGGACAAGCGATCGACTGTTATTTCGATGAACTGCAAATAACAAATGCGAGGATTTTTATAAAGAAATTATCTAATAAATTGATCTAAAATATGATCATCGAGGTTAAATCTTAATTAAAAAGACTTAAGAGTAGCAAACTAATATGATCCTTGTAGATGTATACCAAGATCAATAAACCAGGACGGTCGTTATATTATGATTTTGTTGCAAATTCATAATGCTTCTTACTGAGTTGACCGAATTCGAAAATTTTTAACCTTGTAATATATATTTTTAATAATGTAATTTTTTTCCCCTGTCATTTCAATAAATACATTGTTTGAGTTTCTTTTAATACCGTCAGCTTGTTCGTATTATAATTATAAATAATTATCATACTGTTAAACAATTACGCTGATTAAAAACAAGTTTTGTTTCTTTTCTCTCTCTCTCTCTCTCTCTCTTGGTTTTTTTAAATAACATTTAGAAATATATCCAGCCTGAATTTAGAATTAAACTCAATTGCAATTTAATTTAAACCAATTTTTTTCGTATGTCACATATAGATGTGCGTACCAAGATTCATGTGTTTCATCGTGAAATAACATTTTAACGATTTATAATATTTTATGAAAACTTACCAGTATAATCATCTTCACTAAATCGTCTATCTCCTGGTTTAGGTGACCGATCACTAGTGAAAGTAGATGGATTGAATCTGTTTTGGTCGGCTTCGCTAGAAACACCGGCGAATACTCGTTCCATTTCTTCGTCCAGATCGTGTGTGTCTCGAGATACTTCATCGGTAAATTTATATCCTTCACCCTGTAAAAATATAAGTATTAAGCTATAAATAATAATATACAATATATTATAATTGTGAAATTATACAGAAATATAAATCGGAAATAAACAATTATATGATTCTGTCAATGATTTTAAAAATCACAATGCTTTTAAAACAAAAAATATACAGTCAACTGATAGCAGTAGCCATTAACCAGCAGATACTTAGAGAAATCCAAGATGATGGGTTTTAAAGTAATATTATCAATGGACTGCAGTCAAGAGTGTAGGTAAAGATGATTCATGCGGAGGAGAGGTTAGATATAATTAAGTAATAACTATTATATATATTTTAATATATTTTTATTATTACCTATTAATTTACAAGCTGGGATTTTGGCAATAGTGAGGAGGTTAAACCCCCCTTTACCTACGCCACTGATTGCATTTAATTAAATTATGAGAAACGGACTTTTTACATAAAACGGAGTTTTTTTATTACTACGCGAGTATACGAAAATATGTTAATTAATTTATTCTAATATTCTTTTATAATTAAATATTACATTTTCAAGGAATAAAGTTATTTATACATTATTGTTGATTTATCAACATAGTGTAACATTTAAGTATTTTGTTTATTTACCAATATTAAATAGTTGGTAAAGAAACAACGAAATGTGTTTTAATGTCGGAAATAAATCATTAGTTATTGTTGTGAAAGAAATAAAAATCACACACACACACACACACACACACACACACACACACACACACAAACATTGAATTAACCGGGAGTGCACTCTTTCACAGCTATTGATCGATTATTTACTAACATCTTTGCCTTAAGAGCAATGATGTTGTATGTATAATATCGCATGGTCGTTTCAGGAAATAATATTGTTCGATATACGACGAACCACATGATTTATTTTGACATGATAAACATAAAAATTTCTAATACGATTTTGTAAATACGAGTATATGCGTATTTAAATGACTTACATTTATACCAGTTAAGTAAAAATAATCAATTGTGAATTGAATTTGCATCACTAACACAAAATATTTCATAACTAATTCAACAAAAATGTTTGTTTTTAAACTGAATAATGAATTATTAAAATGAACTAAAAAATAAAAATATCAAAATATATTTCGTGAAATAAAAGTTGTTAAGCAAAGTCTTTCGTCAAAAAATTTTGAAAATATACTTTTAATTATCTTATTATATATTAGCTGAATTAGCTGACCTCAAATAAGACAGATTTTACTATTTTAGATTAAAGCAATTACTAACTCGATGTAAAAACCATTTAAGTTCTAAAAAAATATACAATCGTTGTACATATTAATAAAATCTATTTTAATTAAATTGTACTATATTAATTTACATATACTAAAATAATTAAGCTTAAATAATTAGCAATAATTAAAATCAATATATTAAATTATATATATAAACACATTTCTTAGGTAACCAAAAAGTGAAAAAATCTATACATTATTTCTTAAAAAGGTGATTATAGAAAAATATTTTTTCGTGGTAAATCTAGAATATATATAATATATTCTAGATATACCACGAGAAGGAATATATAATATATAATTAAGTTCAACGATACTTTGTTTAAGTATAAATATTACTATATGTTTTGAAAAATCATATCTTTATAGATACATTTATAGTACTTTGTGATTATTTAATAATATAATTAGATATTATAAATATTAATTATAGATTAATAATATAGAATCCCCTTTTTTCCTCATAGACGTTACAATTTTTGTCCTTTGAAAATAAAAACATGATTTATAATTCTCTATTTCGAGCTTGGATAATGGATGGTGCTAACAAAACTACAATATTAAGAATATCTATAAATTCGAATAAACTGGAGCCTTAGATACACATAGTATTACTTAACATGTAACGTTGTTGTTACATCAAAAAATTATTGAACAAACAATTGATAAAATGACAAATTATAAAAATATATACCATATTAATGTCGTGTTAATTTTATTTTTATATTTTATTAAATCGATTTGTACAATTGTTGTTAAAAATAACAAATAAGTTCTAAATTAATATCTCATTATTTTATATTATTTATATTGTTGATAATAATTATTAATAGTTTAATAACGTACACTAGTATAATTTCAAAGTCGGTCTTTTCAATAATAAATTCTTTCTTTCGATAACATTTCAATTTTACTAAATAAGATTATTTGAATATTGATTGGTATGATGTTACTAGTAAATTTAACGTTTGACATGTTTTAATGAAATAACTAACACATTTCAACGTGATTGACACACATATTGTACATACTGCGAATATTTTTCATACACGGAACTGATAAAACAAAAACAAAAAAAAAAAAAATTGTATTTTGAAACTAGAAAATGTAACGACTATGAATTAACTCACATAATAACACAGGTGAATTTTATAGTATGCAACATTAAAACACCCACAAAAAGGTTTTAAATATTATATATATATGCACATTTATTAATAGTCCTCATATAAGCTAACAAAACTATGCAGACATGGGATACATATATATAATTAAAATGAAGATGACTGTACACAATAAAACGTAAACACAATTCAATTATCAAGTAACAGTAAGTCATTAATAATTGAATCGATTAATTCCTAAGGCTAATTATTTACTATGGCTTTTAAAAGGTGTTTGTACTCGTATTAACACTTTACATTTACTGACAGGCATTTTGAATATTATGAACTTATAAAATTGTAAAGTCACAAGTTAGGTTATATTAAATATATTTATTTTGTTAGTCAGCAAAGTAATTTATTATATATAAATTATAATTATACACTATAATATGATATTTTTCATTTGTTATTTTAATGGAAAACTTAATCATGTTCTCTTATCTTATTTGTGTATCTAAAATAAAACTATAAAAATATCATAAACTAAGAATAAATTTACGAAATTTAAAAAATGTAATTATTTTAATTTATTTTTTTTAATTATATTGTTATTTTCGTATATATATTAAATGAAACATTTGATAAAGTTGTTATTATATTTATATATACAGTGGCGTATTTGGAGGGAGATCCCGGGCCTCGGCCCTCAGAAAAAGGCTCAAAAGTTATAAATAACTTTCTAAGAAGGTAGAGAGAAAGAGAACATTAGTTTACATCATATGGTTGTAATGACTGTACAAAAGTAAATAACTTCCATATGTATTGTTATAGGTATTATATTGTATTATATGTATTTTTATAATACTATACAATCACTTTTTTTTTAGAAAAATGTTAACCCCCCCCCCCCCCCAAAAAAAAATAGAAAATATGCAACTGCATATTAACAATATGCGTTAACAATATTTTAACTTTATTAATGTAAAATTGAACTTTGTTATAAATTACTTATTTCGAAAATGTAACAATAATTTTAAAGGTATATGTAATAGTACCTATATTTATTATATTTATAAATTATAAAGAATGCGTATTTTATTGTTACTATACAAAATTATAATATAAAAGGAAATTTCTTAGTAAAATAAATAACTTTATGTATATATATTTTTTTATACGACTTAATGAAAACAAAAAAATTAAAAAATTTTAAATTAATATTATTTTATCAAAAATAAAAATATAATTGTTTGATAGGTTTATTTTTAAAATATATCACAACATATATGTGAAATCGTTAATTTCATGAAGTAGTGATCATCGTTTTTCTAGACAATATGGACAATTTTCGACTTTTCATAAAGCGAATAAAAATCTTTCTTTTTTTTCAAATTTCAAAATTAACCGTTTAAAACTCATTTTCGCACAGTTACATATTTACAATTTTTCTATTGGTTTAATTATTAACTTGGTAATTCATTGAGAACATATCAAACTAAATAGTGAGTGTATTTTCGCACATTTATCAAAAATCAGAATTCAGAAATTCAGAAATACATAGGTACTATTTTTGTACTACCTAATATTTTCATTTCTTTTTGGACTTATTTACATGTTACAAATTATTTACTTTGAACGGATTGAACATGGTATAATACTTTATAGTTTAATATTTCAGAGTCAGCGAGCATATCGCTCTTGAAATTCGCATATAAAGTCTTCGCTAAAGTGCTACTAAATCGTATTGTCCCCTATGCAGAGTGGATTACCAATGCGGCTTCCGGAAAGGGCAATCAACCACAGAACAATTATCCATAATAGGTCAAATAATTGAGAAGAGTTACGAATACAGGCAGAATATGTGGCAAATATTCATAGATTTTAAAAAAGTCTACCATAGTATTCACAGAGATAGTCTCTACAATATTATGTATGAGTTCGGTTTCTCGAAAAAATTAATAGCACTAACTAAAATGTATATGGAAATTATGAAATACAGAGTAAGAACGCAGAATGTAACATCGGAAACTTTTACAGTGGAAACCGGACTGAAGCAGGGAGACACCCTGTCCCCGGTACTTTTTAACCTTGCACTAGAGAAGGTAGTAAGGATACTACAGGACAATGAAGGTGGCTTATTAATTGGTCAGAACAAAATACGGCTTTTTTTCGAGGACGATTTGGACATAATAGGTGATTCGCTTGCAAACACAGATAACGCGGCCAGAGTGTTAGAAGAAGCAGCGAAGAAAATAGGCCTTAAAATAAATACCGGAAAAACAATGATAATGGAACTCATTGAGAGTGACGCGGACCCGGCGACCGTATTTATAGTCTCCTTATCAGCCGATAGTTCGCGGATCACGATACCGACGCGTCGCACCCCGCACCTTCCTTAAGGAGCGAGTAGAGCGGGGCATCGGCACCGCCGAAGGCAAGTGTCGGCGGAACGATAAGCTGTTCTTCAACTCTTCGCCTGGTTACATCGCCACTTGCGCGTCCTACGTATTAACACCACATTTCTGCACATACAGAAAATAACGTGATCACTTTTGTTTTATTATTATAACCTTTTTGTATTCGGTGTTCGCCACATTGCGCCTGACCGTGTTGATCACTATTATA